CCACGGAAGAAATATATGAATATTACTTTATCTAACATACTTTATGAAGGACAGAATCAGACCACGACATTTTCGAATTCATTTCAAAAGTTTTCTTTCTAAACTGACTTATGATATGACTTTTAGTCACATTCGATAACTAAAATTCCAATATGCGTAGATTGATGATTCATCCGAATAAGTAACACGTTTTCTTGATATTGGGCTTTTTTTTCATTCTTCTGCATTGCATCATAGATGGATTTGATTCAAGTTGATCAAGTTCACATCAAACGCGTTTGACCTATTTTGGAAAAGTCATACGACTGATAATTTTTCACTGTGTTAAAACTGATCCAGTCACATGCTTCCAGGTTAATTTAAAAGCAGTAAAATTATTAGGAAACTTAACAAACTAATATTTTGTCACGATTTCATCATTTCAATCACCATTTTGCTCAAGTATTTTATCTGATAAATTTAACTTTGTGTTGAGATAATAAGCTGTCTCTTCAAGATTGAGAATACTTGGAATTCTGAGAAACACCAGTAACACGAAAACGCCGTAATGTAGACAACCTCCAACCGGAGACAATATCATTAGATATTACAGCTGTATCATTCTGAGTTTGAAGAAATTTCAAGGTATCAATTTGTGTTTCATAATACTGCATACACAATCCACAGTGGGACATCCAACAACACCATCTAATATTTGGAGTGGACTGTTTCATGAATTGGAAAGGTTTACAAGTGTAGCACAGTCAGTATAGGACTAAAATTATCGTTGAATGATTTTATTTACGTCTCCTTTGTGTGTACACCTACTTATATAAATATACGTGTTATCTTACACTTTCATGAAACCTCTTGATGTAATTACAAGATAAGTGAGAGCTGATGTTTTCCAAAATAGGAGTAATTTTGGTGATATCTAAGTTAGACAATAGAATGGTCTAACCGGGACAGAATATGTATATATATACATATATATCCTCTGGCAGTACACAATCATCATCTCATCTGGGATCGATTCCTCAGATTTCAGATTGCTTTCTGATCTGTACATCTGCTTAATGGCATTTTCGACGTAATTTTGTGTTTTTGAAATGTTATTACTGTTAAGTGGTTGCAGTGGTTTTTTAGCAAATAACTCTCTTTTTGCTGTAATGGGGCATTCTGTTACCGCACGTTTCTTGGGGTAGCATTTGTATGTGGTGGACCTTTTCACTCTATTAGCTTAGTTACCCAAATTCAAGTAGAAAATAAAATACCAAATGAGTTTAGTTACGGGAAGAATGTATTAAAGTTTGATTACTTGAGTTTACAAAGGTCCACAGTCCACAATAAACGTTATAGACTCCAGGTGCTGCGGAAAGACTGCTCCAGTAGTAATTCTCCAATGTTAACGTTGCCGGAGGTCGACCAAAGTACGTAGGAAGAAACTACGGTGCTCCTGCAAAAATCAGAGATAGAAAGCAGGTGATTAGGATTGATCGACGGCAGTTGAGATGGTGGAGAAGACGGAGAGTCGAAGGCACAACTATATATTTATTCAAAACCCGAGGTAAAGTCAAAGTACAGAGTTTCTGGTTAAAACAAAGTGGTGTACAATATGTTCATTATTTACATAGTAGTAAAATTTGGATAAGTTGATTTTTGAGGACTCCACAGGGCTCCCCCTCTTAGAGGTCCGGAGGACCATCAGTACTTTCCTCGTGGACGATTACATGAATATAAGCAATATAAATAAGGGATAATGTCAACAATAAGGATAACAAACAAATAACAATAACAACAATAAGGATACAAAGTTAGATCAGGATGTATGGCATGCATCCGTGTCGTATAAAGTTTAGCACATACAAGCACATACAGGAATTTAAAAAAAAATCAAAACTTGTTATAATTTTAAATAAAAATTTATGTACATAATAAACCATGACATGTTTGTTAACATTTGTGAAATTCATATATAAATAGATATATACATATACTTGGTGAATGCGTGTGCTTGCAGTACAGTTAACGAACAGCAAACAATAATACTAATAAATATTTATGGTTATAATGAAATGAATGTCGATAACAATAGTAATGAGAATTGTGTCTAAATGAGGTTAACGTTTATGTCAGTCAATGAAATGAACATAGCGGGCAGGTTTACAGATCTGCCGCCCACTGCGTGTCTGTACAGGGGGAAGAGTGAAGAGCGGGAGAGTTGGAGTTGCATTGACTTGCTGATTGTTTATTGGTGTCGGCGTTGCTAGTGTTTCATGTTCGCTGTCGGTGTACGCTGGTTTAAGACGGTCGATAGAAACAGTCTCCGGTTTACCATGTTTGTTCAGCGTGAAGTATTTTTCGGTGCGTTTAAGTACTAGAAAAGGACCTTCATATGGATGTTGTAGACCTTTTCTAATGGCATCGACGCGAACAAATACAAATTTGCTAGTGAGTAGGTTCTTATTTACTTGAGCTTTCTGAAGTGATTGGCGAGGGGCTACTGGTCTAAGCTGAAGCATATGCTGGGTAAGGCGGTTGGTGAAGTCGGAGATATTTACTTCAGTTGAATCATTAGACGGAACTAACTGACCAGGCAATGTGAGGGTAGTACCATACACAAGTTGAGCTGGTGTACATCCCAAATCTTCTTTTACAGTTGATCGGATACTGAGAAGAACTAATGGTAGGTGTTCACTCCACTTAGATGAGTCAGCTTGTGCCATAAGCGAGCTTTTCAGTTGTCGATGGAAACGTTCCACCAGACCATTCGCTGCAGGATGATAAGCTGTAGTGGAGATATGGTTCACTCCAAGGAGTCTCGTAAACTCTCGAAACAGAGTTGATTGAAATTGAGCTCCTCGGTCTGTTGTAATAGTTGTGGGTACTCCATAGTTTGACACCCAGCGATCTAAGAAAACCAAAGCGATATTTTCTGCAGATATATCGTTGAGTGGACAAGCAATAGCCCATCGGGTAAATCGATCAATCGCAGTAAGTATATGAGTAAATCCTCTGGATGGCGGTAATGGTCCAACAACATCTATATGAACGTGTTGAAATCGTTTATCGGGTAAATTGAACTGTTTTGGAGGTGTGACGGTGTGATGATGTACCTTGGATCTTTGACATTGCAAGCATTGGCGGGCCCATTTCCGAATATCGGAGTTCATCTTGGGCCAAACAAAACGCTCGCTGATCAACTTGACTGTAGCACGCACTCCAGGATGAGACAATGAATGTAGATGTTCAAACAAAGGTTTTCGACAACTTAGTGGAACAAAAGGTCTATGAACGCCCGTTGAAACGTCGCAGACGATAGTTGTATCAGACAGGGGAATAGGTACATCCTGCAACTGTAGGGAGGAGTTTCGTCTACAAGTATGGAGTTCGGCGTCATTTTTCTGCAGCTTGGCAATATTGTCTAAGCTAATATCTATCGAAGATAGGTGATTAACGTCACATCGAGACAAAGAATCGGCTACGATATTAGAATCTCCTTTGATGAACTGGATGTCTGTTGAGAATTGTGAGATGTAATCCAGTTGTCTGGCTTCTCTCGGAGAGTGTCTGTCCAACGAAGTGGTGAAAGCATAACAAAGAGGCTTATGGTCGGTTAAGATAGTAAAATGTCGACCTTGTAGTAAGAAGCTGAAATGTTTCACTGCTAGGTAGATGGCTAACAGTTCTCTGCCAAAGGTACTGTAACGAGTTTGCGCAGGTTCCAACTTCTTGGAGAAGAAAGCAAGTGGAGTGGTGTCATTATTGAACTTTTGTTGTAAAACTGCTCCCACTGCTACCTGCGATGCATCTGTACATAAAATGAGTGAAGCTTCTGGGTTGATGTGAGATAACATTACGACGTTGGATAAGGCATCTTTTGCATTATTAAATGCTGCTTTTGCTTCTTCAGACCACTGAAATTTCTTCGAATTGCATCTAAGTAGGTCGGTCAGTGGTTGAACTATGGAGGCACATGATGGAATAAAACGTCGGTAGAAGTTGAACATCCCGAGAAAACGTCTAAGTTTCTTTAAGGAATCAGGTTCGGGAAAGTTCTTAATAGTTTCTATCTTATCTTCGGTAGGTCTGATGCCTTCGGCAGTTATTCGATGTCCTAAGAATTCAATGGAAGGGGAACCAAAAATACATTTCTTTGGATTGATAACAACTCCAAATTGTTCAAACCTTTGAAATAACAGGCTTAAGTGTTGCATATGTTCTTCCATCGATGAGCTGGCAATTAAGACATCGTCGATATATACAAAGACGAAATCAAGACCTTGGGTAACTTGGTCCATAAAACGCTGAAATGTTTGAGCAGCATTCTTTAGTCCGAAAGGCATTCTCAAGAATTCGAATAATCCAAAAGGCGTAATAATTGCTGTTTTTGCAATGTCTTCTGGAGCGACTGGTATTTGATGATATGCCCTGACCAAGTCAACTTTGGTAAAAACGGTCTTTCCATGTAAGTTCAAGGAGAAGTCGTGGAGATGAGGTATAGGATAACGATCTGGGACCGTAGCGTTATTCAAAGCGCGATAATCTCCACATGGTCGCCAGTCATGATTAGTTTTAGGTACCATGTGCAGAGGTGAAGACCATGGGCTGTTAGATGGTCGTATGATACCTAGCTGCATCATATGTTCGAATTCCGACTTAGCTGCTGCTAGTTTATCGGGTGGTAACCGTCGTGGACGTGCCTTCACAGGTTGTCCTGTTGTGATGATCTTATGCGTAACTGTATGAGATATATCTTCAACGTTGTATGATGGTTTAAGGATTTTAGGAAATCGTTTCAATAAAGCAGAGAACATTTCACTCTCCGGCTTTTCTATACAGATGCTATGAACCGAGTAGTCACATGTAATACCATGGATCTTGAGTTGGGTGCAATTGTCAACCAGTTTTTTTTTGCTGATATCAACTAACAGATTGAAGTGACTTAGGAAGTCTGCACCTAGTATAGCGTGACGTACGTCAGCTACTATGAAGATCCATGTGAAACGTCGGCGTAGTCCTAAATTTAAAATCATTGACTGTTCGCCATACGTCTGTATGTTGGTTTGGTTGGCAGCACGAAGTGAAAGTTTTCCAGGTATTTTGGCTGATCGCCTGGATAGTGAGGGGGGAATAACACTGACCTCGGCGCCTGTATCTACCAGGAATAATGTGCCGGTAGTCAAATCCCTCACATAGAAAAGGCGACTGGGGTGATTGCCATTAACAGCCGTCGCCATTACTGTCTGGCTGGGGAGTTTCCCTGAGATGAGTTACTACTGTTGTACATACACGGTCGAATACACTTCAGGGCATTATGCCCATACCTCCTATGATACCAACAAATGTTACGGCTTTGAGACGGTGTTCTAGAACGTCGTCTAGATCTTGATCGCCGTTGCTTGGATACCGTATGTGACTGGTTCCTTTGTGCTCGAAGCTCGGACACTTCCAGTCGTAAATCTTGCATTTGAGATGTTAACTGGGAAAGTAACCAAAACATTGGTGCGTCCTTCATAGATGTGGAAGGGCTTGGTGGTACTGCCTCGGTAGACACGCTATTTATGCCATTATTTGATAACACATCCATGATATCGTCTGCCATTTTAGCTAATTCTTCAAGGTCTGTCGTCCTAGAAGATATTGTTAGGATTTGTTGAACATTTTGTGGTAAACGTTGTAAGAACATCTGACGTAGAATTAACTCATCTACTTTGTGTGACCCAATCAACTGGCGCATATGTCTAAGTAGTTGAGATGGCTTTTTTGTACCTAGATCACACGAAGTAAGTAGTTGTTGTATGCGTTTCTCATCGGAGAGAGTGGTCCGCTGGATGAGTGCAGCTTTTAGTTTGTCATATTGAGAGTCTGTAGGTTTGCTGTCTATGACATCGATAACCTCTCGTAGTACTTCCGTGGGAATTGCTGCTAATACGCAACCATACATGGCGATCTGCGACGTAATACCTCGAGCTGCAAACAACTGTTCAATAATTGTGAACCAGACACGTGGTTCAGCCAGATCAAATTGAGGAAGTCTTAAATCCGGCAAGGCGTTAACAGCAGAGTTCTGTGTCTCTTCGCCTTTATTACCTTCTTCAGCAACAGTGGTACGTTTAGGTGGAGCCATTGTCATATAATATGTAAGTATATAGATATACAAAATAGAAAAACTTGTGGTAACAAAAATTAAAGCAGTGCGAGTTTATAAGGACAAAATAGCAACAAAAATGTTCAAAACGAGGTAACTATCGAAACAAAAAGGTTCGAAAACGGGTTAACCATAAAAAAGGGTTCGAAACGGGCTCACCAATTATTGTGGTGGACCTTTTCACTCTATTAGCTTAGTTACCCAAATTCAAGTAGAAAATAAAATACCAAATGAGTTTAGTTACGGGAAGAATGTATTAAAGTTTGATTACTTGAGTTTACAAAGGTCCACAGTCCACAATAAACGTAATAGACTCCAGGTGCTGCGGAAAGACTGCTCCAGTAGTAATTCTCCAATGTTAACGTTGCCGGAGGTCGACCAAAGTACGTAGGAAGAAACTACGGTGCTCCTGCAAAAATCAGAGATAGAAAGCAGGTGATTAGGATTGATCGACGGCAGTTGAGATGGTGGAGAAGACGGAGAGTCGAAGGCACAACTATATATTTATTCAAAACCCGAGGTAAAGTCAAAGTACAGAGTTTCTGGTTAAAACAAAGTGGTGTACAATATGTTCATTATTTACATAGTAGTAAAATTTGGATAAGTTGATTTTTGAGGACTCCACAGGTATAACGGAAAACTGATTTTCGGTGGTCGGACAATAGCAAGTCGGTTTTAGTCGCCACAGGCATTGAAATCCATCCAGTGCTTCTTCGCTTTAAATCATCTCTACGTGACTTTGGTTTCTGACGAAATCCACTTTCACATTCATCCAGATCCCTTGGGAAACACATAGTCTAAATATATGATATAATAAGGGTTTAATAAGTCTGTTCTAAAAGTCTACTCACCAAGATGATGAGAAATGCTTCACTGAAAAGACCATATCAATTCGCTGGAGCAAACAAACAGTTGTTTATTACAAGGGTTTTATCACTAATCCAGAAGTCAACGCATTGATGTCAACTGTTTTGAATTTGGCGTCGAGCAAATTTTTGAATGATTCGAGAATTGGAAGAGTATTACAAGTTCCGCGGAACTGTTGGAAGCTAAGGAGTACTTTCGAAGTTAACAGTCGGTAAGTGAATATTGCAGATGTCTTTCACAAAATGTGATACTTCTTCCTTCTATTTTAATGCACTGACGACCTTCGAAACTATCAAACTCTCTGACGAACAGATAAATATATGAACGAGGTAGAAACACGTCTATGTATGTGAGTTTAGTGAAGTCAGGTAGATAAATTATTTGAGCAAGTGAAATTCATCCATTTCTTTGGTTATAAGAAGGCGAGTATTTCCTTATTTTGTCGTAAAATACAGTCTAAATATGATTCGCAATACTTGGCGAAAGTGCATGAGAACCTGTGATGACTTTGTAATTCATCACGCTAAGGATTTATGTGAGGAAAGTTTGTTGAGCATTGACTTGTTACATGTCTTCGTGGCACCGAGTTGATATTCGTAATGATTGTGGCAGAATGAATGTCTGGTTACCAGCTGTGTTTCGACAGATCGAACAGTGAACTACGAAAATGGAAGCTACTGTAAGGATTCCTACTGCCCCCAGACCACACTATTTCATCTGTATCAATCTTACAGTCACTTACAGCCACTACGCGAAATCTCAGACATTAGAAGAAAGAGCAGGAATTTCAGCAAAGAAATCTTTTTGGCGATTTCATTCTCAAAAGCTTTGAAATCGCATTTATATAGATTATCTTACATGGATACAATTATTATTTGTTTAATTTCACATAGTAACGAAGGTGATAATAATTTTCTACTTGATAGGAAATTTTGCAGGTAGGAATGTGGATTACAAGAGACTTGGAGACAAGATTTCATAGGATTAGAAAATGGAAATTTGAAATAATAATTTGAGCCTGAAAGGAAGTTTAGGAGGTGTGAATATAGATTACGAAAGCCTTAGAAACACAAAAATTGCACAGGGTTAACATATAATTGTAAAATAGTTATTTCAAACGAATTATACATGTGAACAGGAAAAGCATGGAAACAAACTTGAAATAACTGTTTTTATAACTGAAAAAAATTAGGTGGATCTAATGAAGACTGAGGGACTAAGGATCAGACACACAGCGAGCGAAAAAATGCTCAAAAGGAAAAGCGAGAACGAAAAAAGACGAAGAAGGTAAAAAAGAGGAAGCAAAGGGAACATACCAAACTAGGTCCATGGTAGTTGTAGAGGTTGGACTAATTTCTTCTGAACACACGGCTCCGGCTTCTCGATGCATATGACGAGAGCTTCCGCAGTACAAAGAAGTCGGAAACATACTGTTCTTGGTAAGTTTCTGTTGACTTTGTAAATCACTTTGAAAAAATCAGTTGAGATGTTGTGGAAGGTGTTGACCAGATGTTCCATAATGGCACTTCTGATTGAACCGGTACCTCCTCTTTGCAGCCACGCTGGTAGGGTTCTTTAGCACGTTTTGAAAGGACGCGCATACAACGATATATGTACGTAGCTCCGCACGGGCAAGTGAACTGGTATGTGTACATTGAATTGGTCATATGCGAGAGTTTGTCCTTCGTGTTGTTTCGAAGTATTGGACGGCTAAAGAATATCACTCTTAGTGTTGCTGCAGGGAAAGTCTTTTTTAAAGAGCTGGATATTCTCCTCTTCAGGATATCAGCTACCAAATCTCCCTTGAAATTCAGATTTAGATACAGCGTTTTCTTTGGCGCTGAATCACATTCTTTTCTTTTAGGTTTCGGTTTCATGTTCTTTTCGACAAAACGTGTCGGGTAGTCATTTTGAGCCAGGATATTTTTAGGGATAGGAGCTCCTCTTCTATGCAATCGCTGCTGCAGATTTTTCTAATGCGATGGGTTAGTGTGCTGACGAGAGCTCGTTTTCACCTCGAAGTATCCAACTATAGAAATGCGTTAGTTGGCCATTCCATATCGGTTTTCTGTGGATGGACCCCTTCAGGGTTCCATCATCTCTTCTTGTCGATTCCACGTCCAGAAATGGAATCATTGAATCGATTTCTAATTCCATTGTGAATTCAATCGAAGGATGGGAATTATTAAATTCTTGTAAGATGCAGTTGAAGTCCGAGTTATCGTAGCAGACTATAAAGGTATCGTCAACGTACCTTTTGGATAGTAGTAATTTGTTTATTGTTGATTTTGAAACTCCACTCTCCATACTGGCGATAAAGTAGTCTGCTAAAAGCGGGCCAAGAGGAGATCCCATTGCAATTCCATCTTTTTGTATGCAGATGTAGATCTCAGACATACAGCATGGACAACATATTATATAATACGCAACGATTTTACAGAATCAATGATTGTTTGTTTCTGAAGTGAAAATATATGACAGTACAAGAAGAAAACTCTGCACTACCTGTTATAAGCAGGTGAGTAATACTACTGTCGACAACAGAGTTATAACCAGAACACCACAGATTATTTCAGTTTGATTATCAGACAACATGACCGACAATAGCATTGTGAAAACGACAATGTTAATCATGGCTTCCGATCAGAGACCACCATATGCTTGTCTAACTAGCTGATCGGTAGAGACAGATAGGTGATTCATGAAATGTTACTGCAACTTAATTCCTTCAGCCACGTGTGTTTGATTGATATTACTCCGAAACACAGTGCAACACAACTACTGTCAATACTTATCAGCTGTCTCATGTATGGCGATTATGTTGACATCATGCAAGAGACATACTGTTCCGGAAGGCCTACAATTCTTGTATCTAAAAATTAGCTTATAAGTAGAACAGGGATAGAATCTCTTCAGAGATTTAATACCGTAAACGTGAGTAATTGTCAAAGATCACACGAAAGTGTAATGTGACGATGTTGAAGACAGATAATATTCGGGGCTAAAGAATATCCAGTTTCCTCACACCTTCTGGTGTTATCTCTGTTGAAGCTGCCTCCTATTTTGTTTTTTATTTAGTGATATACTATTTCGCGAAGCCACACTCAATAAATTATTGAATAAACAAAGTCTTACCTCAAGGTTACGTTTCCGACTTCTAGCATGAGGGAGGTGGTTGTTTTTTTCACTCTTCCCAAAATGTTCTCTTGACTCGTCTGTCCGATTATCTTCCGTGATGTCAACCTCACGCTTTGAGTCACTCAAGTATGTCGCAGATTGTCCACTTTTTCAGCAGAATGTGATGAAACAATACTGATGTTATCAAAATGGAACTACTACTCGTCAATTGTTGTTTGTTAAATTTACTCCTCTTGTTCTAACTCAAATGCGAATATGTTAAAATTCGAATTCAACCAACAATTTACTATAAAATGAACGCATTTACGAGAATGACTGAGTAAACTGTAGGAGTGAGATGGTGTAATTACAATTATTATATTATTATTATTATCTAGGTCAAACACTCTATCTTTGTTTTATTGACTGTGTGATTAGAAGAGAACTTTGACCGGTATTCACTGAACACAGGATTCACATTCATATCATTGAAGTGCACACGGTAAATATTTGGCCCAGAAAATAATCATGAGATTCAACAAGAAGCAGTGAAGCACTTCATTCTAAAATGCATAGACCTCATGTCCTCCTGTCCATCTGTGTAAACTCTAGAAAGTATATACATAAAATGTCTAT